AGGGAACTTGAAGTACTATACCCGGTAACTGAATTGTAGCTACCCTGGGTGTCTACACCTAGCAAGGCGCCAGCTACACCTTACCATTCAGATGATGCAAATGATGCAAATTGCATTTCTTGCATCACCACCCCCTGAAAAATCACAAAAACTCACCTCCAACACAACCTCAAAAACCTTACTTCCGCACACCCCTCTCCCCCACCTAATTTCGCGTTTACGTGGTACTTTCTCGGCCACCCCCCCCCCCCAGACCCCCTACTTACTCACTTCGTTCGCCAAACACAACTCAGCTCGAGCCTTCTACGAAGGCTGGCTTTCGTATCTTAGCGACTTAGAGGCACACCGGCATGACACCCTGCCCTGACACACGTCGTCTAGTGCAGTGTCGATTCCTTTTGGAGTTCTCTGCCGCTCTTGGGTACAGCTAGTGCCAGGACCACATTGTGGGATGTTGCTTGATACCATTTGGTGGCTTCGGCTTGCAACAAGCTAGATTCTAGTAGCATGGCATCTTTTTGATGCAAATGTTCTTTCTGTGAGCCAAACGAACTAGTTTAGTGCACTAAGGCTTAAGGTGGGCCCTCAAACTTTTAGAAACCTGTGAGGATCAGGGTCCGAGGATCCTTTCGAATGCTTCCCGATGTGGCAAGGCTGCTCACTAGTCCTTCCAACGTGGCTCCTCTTCTTCAACCATCTTCAACCAAGGTTCTCTAGCAGCTCGCACAGCTTTGTGTGAATCAATTCACCGCGGCATGAGGTGTCAGCGATGTCCTGCTTTGCACAACGCAGCGCGCGACACATACAATATAATACTGTATGTAGTCATGATAGCACTGGTCAATAAAATTAGGAAACTTTGCCTTGTGAACCGCATGTGATCGTGAAGGAAAAAGAACATTCCATCCCGGAGTCCAGCTTCGTTAGCTTCGTACAAGCTGGAAGTAAGGTGGAAATACCTTCAGACGCTAGTGCATTTCCAGACCTTAAAAGCAGGCAAGTTCTGAGACGCTGGCAAACACACGCACCTGTTCCGGAACTGCCAGGGCCAAGGTGCACATCCAAAGCTGTCAGAACCGAGTCAGACCCCAAAAAGTCCTCAGCAGGCTTGAAGCGTTGTTGTGGTTGTGAATGCACCTATGGTGTAAAGCAAGAGTTCTCTATCAAATTCTTCAAATCTTGTCAGCTGGGTCACGGCCAAAGGCTTCCCAGCATCTGCTCTCAATGCAGTGTGGCAAAGCTCCAACGAACTCAAGCGCCGGCTTTCATTGCGTGCCAGCGCGTTGAGCAAGGCTTGCAAACCTGGAGGTCTCAATGAAAGGTGGCAGTTTCATGAACTTCGCCAAGAAACAAATCCAAAATATGGTTTGTCAATTTGGCATCGGCCATCCCACCTTCGGTGGTGACATGGTTAGGCCTCTGCCTCGTGCGAGGCTTCAGGCTCTCACCTAAGGCCAGGTGCTCTAACCTCGGAGCATGGCTTTGGATGGTTTCCTTTATTCAATCTGCTCATTTTGATAGAGTTTCGGTGACACCTTTTTGGAAAGCTCATTGAATCTCATGGGCAGGTAGCTTATATAGATTTGTCACAGATGTTCATAGTATCATGTAAGTAGTACCAAGGAGACAATGGAACTCAGATTCTTCCAGGATCACTTTTGAGAGTGGGGGAAGTTTCAAAGACCAACCGCATGATCGAAACGGCTGTTTCATGAAAGTTTTCAATGTTTATCATGTTTCTCTGGGAAGTTTGTACTCTTGCCATCTTCTGTCAAGCCATGTCGCGTCTCGTTCGTTTCAAGCTCGCTGTTTGCGATCTCTTTGACTCCTGCAGGACCTCACAGTATCCATTGCGCACATTGATGAAGCATTGGTGGAGCATTGTCACCCAAAAACTGCTCAAAAGTGCATACAAACTGTTGATCCCCCTGTTAATCACATGGAGGGGTCAGACCTCCCCATTCTTTAGTGATCTCCTGGGGAATGATGAATGTCAGCTTCCTAGAAAATGAGGAACGCAGCTTCATAGACCTGGATCAGCATAACCTAGTGAATCACTAGAAAATGACCCCAAATGTTGATCACACCTCCCAGACCTGTGACCATCTTTTGTTTGAACCAGCGCACGGCATTTTCTAGTGAATGCCCTGGTGCCTTGACGTGTGATCGTCATTCTTTGGCGGATCCTGCTTTGATCCTGCTTCCTAGTGGCGCCACCTTGCTTTGAGGATGATCAGGATGGGCAGTGAATGGCAGTGACATATACTGTATCATGCCAGACGGGCCATGGAAATCGTGCCATAGTGGTGCCATGATTTCACTAAAGCTATCTGTCAGATGCCAATCAGACCTGAGCCTGAGCTTGTATATCTTCGCTCTTCATACACTGTAAAAATGTAGAACCCATCATTTTCTAGTACCCAAATCCTCAAACACGGCCATACCCTACCATTCCATTTTGGGCACTCTGGCCTGAAATGGAAAGGTAGGGTATCCAGCCAGAACAATTCACTAGAAAATGATGGATTCTAGGCCTTTACA